ATTTTGGAAATATGGGTTTGTATTTGGATTACTTTGGCGTATAACGTCCCAGACAAGTCCGCTCGACACCTTGACCTACTACTCCATCGATAGATGTCGAAACTCAGATTATAGGAGACATCATATAGAAAATTCATCAGCAAATAAAATGCTATCCTTTAACAAAAGCACCGTGAAACTAGATAATCAGGAAAATGATACGGTTGCATACGACACAAGCCTAAGTGCCATAATGACCCATTGGAGCCTAATCTACCTACCAACCAACCAATCAATTTCTCTCAAACAGGTGGTGATATGCAGCCCTATGTCTAAAGACTATAGCCATAATGAGCATCACCAATCAATCAAATTTCTTCGAATAGTGACTAGTAGCCCTAGGTAAAAATACTATAGTTTGACATGATTGGGACAAGAAGTTTGAGTCCATCAACATATAAAAATGGGTTAAGGGTGAATGAGGGCCAAGTCACGAGGAAATAGTGACAAATACCCGAATGACCCGTCCAATTTTGCAAAATAGCCGTTGATCAATTAAAAAAAAAAGTAAAAAAATAAAAAACAAGGAAAGACCATTATTTTCCTAAATTACCCTTGAAGCACTAGAGAGAGGAGACGGACGCTCAAAACCCGGACGAGGGCCCCACCATTTGAGCTGTACCTTCACCGACGACCCGGACCACAAGAAAATCACCATTTTCAGTTGAAGTAGGTGAGTGTTGGGAAATATATGAATTTTTTACAAAAGATGATTGTATTTTAAGTGTATTAAGAATGATATATAGGATTTGTTGATTATGTTTATAGAATTTGTTGTGGATATAGGAATTATTGAATGAAATGATATTTTTGGAGTGATTGGGGAGGTGGAGATTGCCGAAAATGGCGATATCTGCCGCCGGCAGAACGATCGCAACGCCCGGACCGTCTGGGCTTTTTTGCCCGGACCGCCTGGGCCTGCCCTAATTTTAGGGGGTTTTTTTTTAATTAATACTATTTATTCGATTGTTTATTTAATATTATAAAAAATAAACAATTTAAAATAAATTATTTCATTTAATTGTTTAGTTATAAAAAATGAAATAAA